AAGCTGCAGCATTACCACACGTCGCACATATGTTTTAACACCTCAAAAATCCATCCAAATTTCATCATGTCATTTAAATAATACTAGTTTTTTTACGGATTTTATCGCGTGTATTTAACTTTTAAATACCCGACATTTCGAGTACTTTACAGCACCCATGGTCACGGGGGGGGGGGGGGGACTGACATGTTCAACGACCACATCATGTCATAGTTAACAGCGGTTACCATAGATTAAAATTTAACTTTTGTTCCGATCTACACAGTATGAACTTATGGTATCTTGAAGTCTTCACTTGTATGCTTGGGTTGGGATTTAATTTTATTTATTATAGGATCCCAAGCAGATGGTAGCACCCAGCCATCTTCTCTATTGAAATTAGGATGTTTTTTTGATTTCAATAGCCTTGCGAATCATCCTCGATTCGTAAAACTTCGATTTTGTAAAACAATTAAGTATTCTTATTTACTACTGAAAACACTTTATGACAAAAATGTAGACCCAAAAATATTCCTCCTATAAAATATATCGTTTTCGATGTCAGTCTCTCGAAGTCCCTTAAATTGCTGATTTGTCGATGACCTAGCTCAACTTTCTTTTTTATATCAATCCGTAATATTCTTTACCGTAATAGGAAAAAATTAAATTGAGTGAAAAGCGATCACAATCTTAGAAATCGCGCGCCTTTGACGTTGTTCCTCGTTGCAGACCTGAGTAAATTAAGGTAATTTATTCGCGATGAGATCTTTTAGGTATTTCCCACAGACTTTTTTATAGAACAAATGTGACAAACGGGCACACAGTCCACCTGATGCTAAGTGGATGTTGTGTCCCATAGACATATACCCTCGATTAAGAATCAAAACGCAGATGCGTTGTCACCCCTGAAGACTAATCTTAGTCTTCAGGGGTGACAACACAACAAGGCATCCCATCTGGAATGCTTCGTTTCCAGTAAAAAAAAGGTCTCCGGATCTCTACACTCACCACACGAAACACAGCAGTATTAAGCTGCTATTTTACGCTGATATTCTGTTAGAGCATGGTCCTCCCCGGTCGAGCCGACCCATTCGGGCCACAACCATAATTTAGCTGCAGCGCGGCTCTACCACGTATATAACGTCTTTTACGACACCCACGACACAGATTCACCAATAGTTCCTACGTAACTTACGGGACGAGACAGGGTAATAGATCCTCCAATGCCTCATGGCTATCATACAATATTATTTTCAATTCAGACCAAAAGACGCAATTTATACGCAAAATTTTTAGTTAGAAATATTTTTTTATTCACTTTAGTATTGCTTCAATATTTGACCCCGTATAGATAAACGTCAAAAGGTACCCACACAAATGTACACGAAAAATTTCATCAAAATCCGTTGCGTATTTTAAAAGATCTAAGCGTACAAACGGCGCGGCGGCAAGCGACTTTGTTTTCGAGATACTATGTAGTAGAGATGCCCATTACCTAACTCTAGAACGGGATAGAATGTTACGAGCAATATCATCAAAGGCGTAGATGTTGGTACAGATTTGTACATGTTACTTATTTTACTGCTCTAGTGTGATGACGGCATCGGCGTAATTAAAGCGCTATTAAACTACTTTATTTACGGGTCACATGATTGATAGATAACTAACGTACACACGGAACGCTGCAGGACAAAGTAAACAACATTATTCGGATTGACATAACTTTGTTATGCAGTACGATAGATGGCTTACATAATTTAGATCGAGATTTAATTATTAGGGAATTTAAAAAAGAACGAGCGAGTCCTACAGTGGTTCGACTACTGTAAGGGCTCTTGTACACGCTAAGAAAAGTCGCTGGATCAAACAAAAAAAAAACAAAAAAAAATCTTGTATGCGCTAGACAAGACGAGCTCCGTGTTATTGCGGTGAAGGGAGGGGCGGAGTAGGTAAGGTGCCTCAAATTATCTGATTTGAGTACTTTTGTACATTGCATGGACGTGTTTGCATACTTTATAATCTTTTTTGTACATATAATATGCAATAATCATTTTTTTTTTGCTTCGTAGTTAGCATGATTCTATTCATTTCACACAAACTGAACTTGGATTTATGTACTGTGCTTCACTAGTGCACTATACCCAACGCACGACTGGCCGAAAACAATCTCATCGTGTACACGTCTCTATTTATCTTGTCTGCAGCAGACACGACAAATTTTCGTGGCTAGTTCCGACAAAATTCTTGTCGTATACATGATGAATTGTTCTTATCTGCCGCAGACACGGTGAAATTTCTTAGCGTGTACAGGAGCCCTAAATCTCGCTCGTTTTTTTTTAATTCAATAATATCAAAACGTATACCTAAATAGATAAAATATATGAATATCGTAACCCTATCTTTTTACTTTCTTTTAAAATTTTTGAGTTACAATTACCATGTCAACTTTGTTACAAAACATCGTTATTATCACTTGATTCTCGTGACAATACCATTTTATCTACCTCGGCATAACAAATGCAAGTAATCTATAGTAGGTATAGGTATCTACTGTCATTATAACGAATGGTCGATGCATTCACAGAAGTCAACAAAATTTGATTAAATATTACGTAACTATATTTATTATGTTTATTTGGCTTGGGTTGAATGGTCTAAGGCTAACCGTGATTTTAATAACAATATTCATACAAAAATCAACACATAGCTTGGTGCTTTGAATTTAACTGGAACGAATAAGTATTTTCGAAAATCAATCTGCTTTTTGATTGTGTAACTCTGGTAGGAATCGTTTGCCGCTGGGAATGGCTTACCTAAGTTTTTTTTTTTTCATTGCATTAATATTCTGTAACCTAAAATAAGATATTTATATAAAAATTCACCAGCTTCCAGTCTATCGAAACCAAACGTTAAACGTCAAAACGTAACCAGCCACGGTTTCCACCAAAACTGCCCAAGATATTAAGAATACGATAACGGTTTTACCATAACTGCCATACCATTACAGCCTATGAAGGTCCACTGTTAAAAATAGGCCTCCCGCGTACCTATATTGCCACTTGGAGGACTTTTACCATAGTTGCCACGCTTGACAGCCGGGTTGGCACAATTTTAAATCTTTGTTTAATTTACTATTGTGCTTTAAGTTAAATCTTCAGAAATTCGTGTACATAATAAAAAATAAAACTATTTTGAAATAAATTTAAATGTGATAATCACCCAAATAATTATTCCTAAATAAGGCCACTTGTAAATAGAATATTATACCAAGTCGATGCGAACAGAAATGAGAATAAAAACATATTGGATTTATACTCTTATTAATTTGTGGTCTAAGCATGGCGGTGATGTTCTTCACAAAGATACATATTCACCAAGGCAAAGACTTCTAGGCTACAACAGCCTACATGTTTACAACAATGGAATAAATTAAAGATAAAATGTAGTTGATTATTTTTCCCTTAGTGCATTTACTGATAGCGCCTCACCGGTTTTGAAGGAAAAAAAATTAATTCTAGCATATAGCAATACTTTTAACATATTTATTACCTGTTATATTAAATTATGATAAATATATGTTAGGTTTAATTTTTAGGACCAAAAAGTTAGTAGTACATATTATATTTGTAGCTTTTAATATCGCGGAGATCAATTCCTGCTCGCTGTAAGCTCAGATTTACTTCATCTGAGGCTGTAAGTAGGTACCTGTTTGTATGGCGCAAACAATTGCTCAGAGTCTGGTTACAGCCTACCTATTTGCCCATGAGCATATTTTGTACGTAAAACGCCATTAACGTTATAAAAGGATAAAAATAAACAATTTTTTATTAATTAATATTTTATTTAAAAAACGAACATAGAAAATTGTATTCTATCTGCAAAAAACAATCTACAGATATCACAGATCGAAATAACTATTTAAATAAATACGATATATTGTGATTCTTAATATTAAAAATTAACACAAACTTATTAAAATAATGCTGAGAGTTTCATTATATATATTGTTATTTTACTTATACCTAATATAATAGACTCATAACTCAATCAGGTTCAAATTTGTGAAATAAAGAAAAAGCTACAGGTGACTTTTTAAAATTTGACATAGAATTATTAATAGAAAATACATACAAGTTCTTTCTTTTTTGGAACAGTTTCTTCAGATAATCTTCATAAAAACTGTCTGAAGAAACTATAATATATAGAATATACAAAAACATAGAAAATGGCTTTGTAATTTCGGCAATAATAGGAAATAAAAAATATATGCGCACAATACTATCATGACCTTGCTTATTTATACTCTAAGGTCATGACCATTTAGTTAGGTACTATTAATATACCAACCTAATTAACTTTTTCGGCCGGTGGGTAGATGTTTTTTCCAATCTAAACAACATGTATAAACACATTTGAAAATCCACTCAAACATTGAAAATAACTATTAAATTATTGGTAACATTAAACTAAATGATAAACCTACTTTAAAATTAAGGTACTATCCATTGATATCTCTCTGTAAATACAACATAAGGAACACGTTTTAATACCTACCTTCTGCTGCCTTTTACTCGTAAGTTTAGAAAGAATATTATTAAAATCTAAAACTAAATAAAATTTACTTAAAACTAAACCTACCACACAGTTAATTCAATTATTAATTACTTAAAAACAACTTATAGGAAATTAATTTAGGTATTGTTTATGTGACTAGTTTGAATCACAATACATTTATCAATTATATACTTACTATTGTTTACAGTTACATAATTAACCGTTCCTCAAACAGTATTTGCTCCCTATAACTTAATTAACCTAGTTTTTATATTTAGACTTTAACGATCACGTGATGAACTTAACCGATTACCTAAATAAACAAAGTACATCACAAAACACAAATTGTTTTTTCATTATTTACATATTATATCCGCGAACCCGGCTAGTTATCTTGATACTTGCAAACACCACTAACACTGACACAATGTGTCATGCAAAAATGCAATCCGCTTTCAGAATAACGTTTAACACTCGTCGTACTCAGGTAAGGCAGGTAGACTCAAACATTGTCTCCTTTGCCGCCTTTTCCTTTGAAATGTTTTGCTGCACTTCTTGAGCTCCATGCTACTGCATTCCTTGTCCTCTGGCAACGGTGGCAAACTGCGCTTCAGGCGTCGAGGTAAAACGCATTCCGTTGCAAAATTATTAAGCTCTTTACACCTCAGCATGTCGACATCAGGGTACGACGTATGTTGTAGCGGGAATGCGAGTTTAATTAACATTGTAGATAAAGTAAACAAGCGTGAAATACAACGCACAAGCACTCACTTCGGTGTCGTCGAACCGACTGTGCGAGTGTGCAACTGTCGGAGTCGGAGATCGGAGTCCGGCTCCCCAGTATCGGTCGGTCTCCGCTCTCAATGCGCGACGCGTACGGTAGGCAACGGATAGGTCAAAACTATTTTTAGGTAAACACTTGCATAAAACAAAGATTAACGAGTAGGTTTGTCGATAGTACAAATATAGTATATTATCTGTGAGTACAACATCAAACATAAACATGCGATGCCGCCAAATAACGTTCTCTGTCCTTTTTTTTTGAAGGTTAAACGACGTTTGTATCAATTTATCGGAAGAAGTAACAAACACTATAAACATAAAATTGTTTTCTTTTTCTTTCCAAGTAAACATAACAATATTATCCTTATAGAGACTTAAAGAGCCGTGGTAGCTCAGATGGTTAACGCTCGCTGTAAATGTAACAGAACGCGGGTGACCCGGGTTCAATCCCCGCCGGCACCAATGAAATTGTTAATTGCAATTGCAATTGTCAATTACGGTGAAGGAAAACATCGTGAGGTAACCTGCATGTCTGAGGAATAAGAAGAAAAAATATTTCGAAGACATGTGAATGAAGTTCGTCAACACGTATTGGGGCTGCGCGGCGGACACTTCCTTGCCCTAAAACCCTCTCAGAAATGAGGGGAGGCCGGTGCCCAGCAGTGGAACATATATGGGCTGTAACTTTACTTTACTTTAGAGACTTAAACGCGTCCCAAATGTAAATAAGGCTTTACCAGACAGGAATAACAATGGACCGCTCATATAGCTTAAATAGAGGCAGAAGTTCCTACTCGTAACCTCATACAGGCAAGGCGTTTGGTAGGATTGACAACCTGATTCCTGATGAAACATGTACTGAATCGAAGGTTTGGATTTACATAATGTATCTTCCAATTATTCAACATTAGCATAAAAAATCCAGCAATTTTTTTAAATAGTAATCAGCAGGTAGATAACATTTATTTATACTATAATCTACAAAGTTAATGGCTACATAGATCCTATATAATTTGCACTATGTAAGTGACATTTGTAATTTAAAAAAAATTAAATACCCAGACTGACGGAGGAGAGCAACAACAAAGATGCCTCACATCACATCACATCTGATACACCTGTCGCTAAAACACCTATCAAGAGTGGCAATTAAAGCAAAACCTTCCTATTTAAATGAACAGTATACGACAGTAAACTTTTAAAAGTTAATAAAGAATAAAGAAGTATTGTACCTTGAAATAGAAAAGGCAACTCGCTCTGTTACTGACTTACAGAGTCAACTGAGTGGCAATAGCAAAATATAATTAAATTATGTAGGAAAATCCGAAAATTCGCACCTTGAGTATTACCTACAAACAAAAAAATTCAAAAGGCACAGGAAGACAGGTGGACAGTAAAACAGAAAACAGAAATTGAAACTTAGTGAATACAATAATATACTCTTTAGTAAAGAGTATATTATTGTATTCTGCATAATGACCCATAGATTTAGATAAAACCTCAGACCCAAAATCTCAGAAAATTAACCAAATGATAAAAACAAGGTTAACAAATTTTGAACGGAATCCATACAAAGGATGGATGGAGATTTTTTGTAAAATAGTTAAACTTATTTATTGTATCAAATAACTGTTATCGAGGTAACACACAAAACCACAGACCAAGTGACATTTTCTACACCAGATTAAAGTTCACAATCGACTTAAAAATAAAAACATGTACCTAAATTATTATTATTTTTGATTTTAGATGGTTCAACCTTATATTATGATAGTGAGGAGGTGGTAATGGTAAAAGATGAAACTTAGGGAATACAATAATATACTCTTTAGTAAAGAGTATTCTGCAAACCCATAGAATTAGATAAAACCTTAGACCTTAGATATTTTACAAAAAAAGAAAAACAAAAATCTTGAATTAAATTAATTAATTAATTAATTAAAATCTATCGAGATTCAAATCATATCCACTCTACTTTACAAACGGCAATAAAACAATAAATTTAGTAGCCATCTTTGACTTTGTCACTTCGAAGGGTCACAGGCTCAAGCGCAAAGGGCAAAGAAATTGTTTAAAAACTTTTAATTAAAAAATTTTGTTTTTAAGTTTTGTAAAAAGTCGGTGTCATAGGCTTGCACTCCATTCACATGTTACACCTTTTTTCCAGACGCAAATGAAAAAGTTAAGCTGTAGTATAGCTTAACTTTTTCATTTGCGGTATGATCTTTCTTACTTACTATCGCTTACTTTTTAGTTGGTAGTTATTGTAGGCCTCATTCAAAGTATTCATACAGTCGTAATAGAGACCCACACTGTTTCATCTTTTGGCTTATGCGACACTCAGGATAATTTAGGGCAGTGGTGGTTTACGAGAAGGTTCGTTACGATCACATATATCTTAGAGTTACACTGCCGGGAATATATAGATAGATACTCAACTATGACCATCTTTGTACGCACTTGGCATGTAAATTGTAATGATTTGATATGAATTGTATTATTTTCAAAATCGAAAAGTTTTTTTAATCTTTTTGAATACCACTTCCTATAAGTTTGATTTGAAAATAAGTCCTTCAGTTATTATCTTCCTATCTGGGCCCATTTTAGTCGTTATAACGGTCAAATAAAAAAAAAGATCAGTAGACTGTAAGTGCCTCAATGTCACTTCAGTTTTATTTAAAAAAAAAACTTCTTTCTATTGGGTAATGTTAAGAATTATTTATAACCTATATTAAATAAAAATTATTCTATTCTTACTAGAATAGAATAATTTAGTACTGCGAAGAAACGTAGGAGATTCCGACACGATATAATATACGTAGGTACCACCCCACGGCTGTCGCTAAGTCGTAAAACTCGACCTTAGAGTATTATCACACATATTATACAAAATGCCAGACAAATGTCGTGGCCTTTGCCATATTAACTATCTTACAAAACAACAACAAAATTATTACGAATTTTGATTTAAATACAAAAGTCATAACAATAAGTTGTTCTCAACAACTTTTCAATATTAATGGATTTATTTCTTTGGTAACCTAATCCGTTTAGCCTTCAAAAATGTGCAAAAGTTATAATTGAAACTTCTTTCACAATTAACGTACAAACAGACGATTAAGAAGTGGTAAATTTAAAAATTTTATACAACCGACTTTAATATAAATAAAATGAGAACATCATTAATGTATTTGAAGTCATTAAAATACGCATTATTAAGGATAACTCAAAAACTACCGGTCAGATCTTGATAAAATTTATATGGTACCTCATGAGAAGTACCTTCTTTCAAATTAAAAAAGAATCATTAAAATTAGTTTATCTAGAAAAAAGTTCTGAGATAACACACATAAAAAACATAGTCGAATTGAGTAACTCCTTCTTTTTAAAGTCGGTTAAAATAATAGTGTTGCGTACCTAATTCCATCAAGGGACGGCCGATCTTATTATTGACGACTCAGCGCAGCGACTAAACGTTTGGCTGCGGCGCTGCGGTTCCCGGATTCAAATCCTACATGGATCTACAATTTGTATGGCCTTTATAACTGTTCCAAGTCTGAATGTTTGATCATGTGCAGATTATATTTGAAAAACTTCTCCACGATAAAGGAAAGAAATACAATTGTCGATTAAACAAAATTTTAACAAAAATCAATTTCACGAAAACACAAAACATAACACTGATCTTAATTGCACATTAATATGCACAAAAATCCATTAAATAGGTACGTACTGAGGTATTTTATCACCAACTAAATTAAACGAAACCACAGCATGTTTGTTTGATAACGAAATGTTATTACTTATAAATTACGTTTTCATTTCGAGTCTTATCTGCTTTGAATGTATTTATGTTACCAATATTCATTATAATACAATCAACAACAACAAAGAGATCATAATATATTCCATTACTGCGCTCGCTAGTCCGCTTATCAAAAGCCAAGCATAATCTTCTCCTTTGACAGTTAAGAGTCACTTCCAGAGTGTATAAGATTGGCTATGATAAGGCGTTTGACAGGTGGATTTGTTATCTTCGTACTAGACGTCTTGTATCTTTGACACTATTCCCCGTTTTCATCGTCGGTTAGGATGTTTATACATAGTAGTGTTTATACGGCTCGGTCGGGGAAGGACTATGATCTCACAAAATACCAGCGTAAAATAGCAGCTTAATACTGCTGTGTTTCGTATGGTTAGTGTAAAGAACCGGAGACCCGTTTTACTAGAATCGAGGCAAGAGTAACAACACATCTGCATTTTTATCCATAATCGAGGTTAAATGTAGATGGTCTATGGGCCACAGGATCTCCTTAAAATCAGGTGAACTGAGTGCTCGTTTGTCACCCTTATTCTAAAAAAACATGACACAACCATGCGGCAGCTATATAGTTGTAGCACGAATGGATCAACCAGGGAATAGCCACGAGATAACCACGCCCTCACAAAGTACCGGAGTAAAATTGCAGCTTAATTGAAATAAATAAATGAAATATGTTTCATTGCAATGATTTCTTATATTTAGGTGAATACTACACATTAAATGAAACTAAACGTTGCTGTAAAGCACCCGATAAGACGGGAAGTAAAAAGTTAAAATTAAACGCAATAAAATCCTAAAAATTTTTCCTAAAAGTTTCGTTTAATATACTTTATTGTACGTCGATAAATAATCTATAATAATCTTATAGCTTAAAAGCGATCTCTACAAGACAAATGTGGTTTTTTTTTTGTGAGAAACGGTAAATATTGCAATGTTTCGTATGATTGTGGAGAAAAGAGAACCCGAAGACCTTTGTTACTGAAAACGATGCATTCTATCTTAGTCCTCAGGGGTGACAACGCAGCTTATTCTTATCCGAGGATAGATGTAGATGTCTATGGGCCGCAGCATCCACTTAGCTTCAGGTGGAATGTGTGCTCATTTGTCACCTTTATTCCA